TGTATTTGTCAATTGTACAAGGTCAACTTTTACATTTTTTACCGTTAAAACATTCATAAAAGTCCTAAAATTATCATCTAAAAGTTTAAACAGCATTTTGTCAAATTTTGTTATATGAAACAATTCAGTTATGCTAAGAAATGTCTTAAACTTTTAAATTAGATAGATGTTTTCGAAATTTTAGTACTTTTCAAAAGAGTTGATAAGACGGATTTCACACAACAAACCCAATAAAAAAGTTATTAAAGGTAAATAAACTACATACTTTCAAATACAAATAATTTCTTTTTTGTCTGAGGTGTCTTAATAGACAAACATAAATAACACATAATATAACATTACTATTTTGTTCAATTCTGTCACATGTTTTACCTCTATTTAAGTTTAACATTTAATTATTATAAGATTTTTATGTTTATTTCAGTGGTTAAAACCTCGCAGTGGTGATGATTATAGTGAGAAGATAACATAAAACTGAACATAAAATTGATCAGTTTTATTATTAAATTTAGTGTGTTAAATAACATACCCGTTGTCTTATGACAAGTGACCTCATCAGTATCTAAATACCTATTAGCTGTTAATATACAAATGTTACTGTAAAAGGTCGTTAATACAGAAATTGTGTTATTGAGCTGAGAATAATCAAGATTTCTACTGTGTAAAGCCGTTAACTTCATTTTATCTAATACAAATGCAGTCCTGAAATTGATAGAAAAACCTAAAATCTTCAGTTTGATAAGTGCTTCACGCTTATATATTGGCGAGTTTTGGAAGTGTCTATGGGCCACTCGATATCCGCGGAATCACGATTCTCGGAACGTTTCGAAAATTTTCCATCATTTATATAGGTAGTTATTTATGTCTTTGAAATATCATTTATATGTTAGAACCTATTTGCCTTTTGACAAAACATATATGTTTTTAATAATGTGAATGTTTATTAAATATCAAGTATAATGATAACGTAATTATATAATTCATGCTTTGAGACGGTCCCTCTACGCGTTTTTTTTTTTTCTTTTATTAGTTCAACCTTATAGCATCTAAATATTTGTACTATGGAACGGTTTTGAAAATTGTATTCATTGTGTTGGTCAGCTATCCTACACGTCTTGATTCATTCACATTACACATCACCCTGTTCACACGCACACTACCGGTTTGCGTTCACAAAAATTCCGGATAAAATGTCAATGAATCCGGAGTCAAAACACTTGAGGTAGGTAGTTTGACATCCTAATTCAATTATTAGATTAATATATGTGATGACGCAAATGCGTATTCTTATCCAGAGTATCAGTGCGTATGCTTTCTATTTACTATTTCTTGCGCAAAAATACCACGTTCATGCATAAATATTAATTTCACTCGCGAATGCAAATTTTCGCTTTTCTTATCTAAATTCAGGACACGGCAATAAGAGCTTGCCATGTGACTTTCAAGCACGGTCATCATTGCTTACGGTATTCTGACCTCTAGCTGTTTCTCTTTTGTTTTCTTTTTGAGTCACTGTCCTTTTATAAACTTTGACATTTTCGAAATGCCAAGGATTTTCTACCCAAGGAATAGATTACATAACTTCGCACTTTTTTTTGGCCTTTTTAACTATTTCTATTCGAGCGTCACGGATGATTCTTTGTAGACTCTGGCGTACAACATGTTAATCCTGGTATTTTTTATATCTACATGTCTTTTTATATAAATTGGTTCTTTTGAGAGTATGTTCATGTATTCATAAAACTTCTGAAAATAAGATATTCTTCAAAACCAAGTTTCCCTGTAAAATATTTGGATTGATTTAAGTAAAATCAGGAAATCCTTACAATTTCAGATGTTTTATGAGACCAAAATAAGTCTTTATATAAGAGGTCCAAATGAAGCTGGTGTGTTACTCTCAAGAAAAATATACGAAACCTTCTTATAAGTTGCATGCCACAGGGTTTCACTTCACATGGAAAATGGACTTTAAATTTATCTGTACAGTATCTACCATGAGTACAGACAACTTCAATAACGAGTTGAGAATATGAAGGCATCCATGCAGGAAACAAAATATAAAGATGTGATAGATAAAATAAATGCATCCAGATTATAAAGCAAACTGAGTGCTTAAATTTATATTGCGATTGGTTTGTGCAATTTGCATTATACATCCGGTTTGTAGAAACCGGTATTTGCAATAGGATTATAAAAAAATGATGTACAATCCCAAGTAATAAATGAAATAGTCGAGCTTTTCTATTCAGGTAACAAGACATTTCGGCACCCAGACAAATCGGCACCCAGGTCTGAAGACATTTCGGCATCCGTTTTGGACATTTCGGGATCCGGACATTTCGGGACTAAGACAATTCGGCACCTCATTTATTTTTCTCAATATATATATATATATATATTAAGAAAAATAAAAGAATTGTAACAGTAATATTATAATCCGTAGATAAAATATGCAATACAAAATTTGAAAAAATAATCATCATTTAATTTAATCCTAAATGATAGTGTATGAATAAACATCATTTAATTAAATCATAATTAATTCAATTCAATTCTTTAATTACTTTAAGCAAATAATGCTCATCAGTACAATGACATGTAATATATATATAATATATATGCAAATACAATATATGATAAATAAATACATAATGCATACGTATACATAACTGATAAATGAATACATCCGAGATGAATAATGATCTATATTAAGTATTGGTTACTTATAAAATGTCTGTTCTACGTTTAAATGCATGGAAAAGAAATTTACAAAGGTTACATCTGTTTTTTACATTTTCTGTGCTCAACAACTGTACAAGCTTAAATGACGATAGACGCCTATAATAATATGGCTTAATATACTGTCTCTTTATTACATTATAACAATCACACTGTAAAATGAAATGAAACTCGTCTTCTATTGTATTAAAAGTACAGAGAGTGCATTTTCTTTCTGATCTATTAACACCGTGGTATCGGCCTGTTTCAACAAATAAGTTATGTGAAGACAAACTTATTCTCGTTAGATACACTCTAAAATTCACATGTTTAGTAAGGTAAAATTGTAAACAAACATTATTTACACAGTATTTATACAAAAAAACACTTTGGCGAGCCATCCAATAATTGATTCAAGTATTGATTAGCTTGATCAAATATTCTAGTTTTGATAAAATACTTAAGAGTGTCATTTACAACTAAATTATCTTGGTTATACCAGAAGTCATTCAGACCCAAATTAAACAATAAATACTTCGTCATTATCATCATCTATTCACAGTTAATTACTTCAATTCAAGAGCAAACAAAAATTCAGCCACAATCTTTTGGTGACCAGTCAGCGGTCTTAGGTTCACGTATTGCTTTTCTTTTTTTAAAGAAAGCAACTTGTTTTTCTAAGTTGCAGATATCTTTTTCTATAGGGTATCGGATATATATTTCGGTTCATTTTGTTTAAAATATGTTGACTTGTCGAGCCTTAATTCAACAAAAGGCGCAATACCACTTATGATTGTTAATTGACTATCAGTCCTAGTAGCTGGAGCGAACCTAATGCTAATTATTCCAGAAAAACGGATTAAAAGTATTTTTACTATACTATCATTATTTAAGATGTCGGTACCACTGGTGATTAATTATCAGTTTTCGATGATATCATCCCTCCAGTAGCCAGTGTTCGGACTGGTATCACCTAAATAAACTCATCATAGATACCAGTATTAAAATGTTGTACGCTTATAAGTTAATGTAAATGTAGCATTGGCTTATTAGTTAATATTGTAAATGTAGCATTAGTTTCAATTGAAAAACAAATGAATCCTCTTATAAGATGATTCCAACTTAACGCTAAAACATTGAATTTGATTGAATAAGAACAATGGGCAAAGAAAGAACAGATCGACGTATTTTTATGGTACTAGAGAAACATTAAATATTTTAAGAGGAAAAGCATTGATTTTGACATTTCCATTTATGAACTTCCCCTACTTGAATTTGCCTTGTAGTTCGGTATTTTGTTATACTTTTTCCATACCAGAATCAGAACTAGCAAAAGTTATCGTTCTTATCGGTCTAGTTAATGCAAAGATAAATGGAATAAGATTTGACCTTCTTTCCCAGTGGATCTAAGGGAAATGAGATGACACTTTTGTATTTGTATATGAAAGGATTATATCTTACTGTGTGATTAAAGGGACTTAAGTACTCTTTAGTCAAAAAGTAATAAAATGAATATATTAATGAAAAAGAATGGACATGACAAGAATACTAACGTGCATTTTAAATTCGCTAGAACTGTCAAGATAATCAGCCTAAATTATCTCTCAATATAGTTGGTTGTTAAAGATTTGCAACAATAAAGTTGTGTTAAAAAATTTTTATTTCTAACTTACAGTTTTCCTATTTTTGGTTATTCCAATTATAGTAGAAAACATTTTGCTTTCTTTCAAAAATAGGTAAGGCCAATTTCTCCTCAATCTATTTCAAAGCAGGGTAATTTTTTTGAATCTTTGAGTCTTTACTTATATATTCATAATATATATTTGTAACCTAAGGTTCTTGCAATATGATTTCTTATTTCTAAATATATCACCAAATTATAAACGCTTGAAATTGCAATTTTAACAGATTTTGTCAATTATTGAGTATTTGTCTCAATAATGTATCAGAAGGACATCGTTTACCAAAACCAAAATTCAACAATTTCACCAAACTTTGAAAAATGGTAGGACACCAACTACAAAGCAGAACTTAAAGATTTTTAATAAATCTGCCAGTTTCTTTTCATTATCTAGAGGGGCCCTTGTGTAAAGTTTCTTCATTAGAATAAAGGAAAATTATCACAAAAATTTGTTTTTTGTCGATTTACTGTTTCCCGACCTTATTGAATATATTGTGGCTATAGCTTTATAAAATATGTGTCAATTTAGCTGCTATGTAAATATACGAAATAATATTTAAAATAACATTGTAAGGGACATAACTCTTTCTTGAAACAAAGAAACAACTAAGCAAGCGAAATAAAGACTTGAGTATTTCAAAATGAGTGTCTTTCATATAATTCAGGATGTAGTTTATGAAAATAAATTCGTCTTCTATATATTCTTTGGATTTTGTAAGTAGAATCATATTTCATTTCTCTGATATGCTTGCTTAGTTTGCATTTTCTTTTTTAAACTATCCACATTTGAAAAATGAAAAATAATATGCTACATTTAAATTTCCTTTTCACTGTGTAGTATTTTAATATTTTTTAATCAAGTCAAGGCTGTATATAAATAAATTCGTTTAAACCACGCTCGTTTTGACAAGTACTAAGCAGGAAATTGATCTTAAAATCAAATTGAGAACATATTTTATTTTTTTTAATTCAATAATTGATTGTAGGTATATATGTTATATTTTGAACAACCATGTACGTGATATGCATGAGCCGGATATATGTTCACAACGACATGTATTTGTATAATTGTACAATATTTATCAGATCAACGATTATTATTCAAATCCGACTTAAAAGAGAATACGATTAAACACTACAATAAGAGAATGATGTGATATGCAAGGAGTACTTAGGTCAGGGGAGATCCTAAAATTGTTACATGTTGTCAATTTATATTCTGACAAAGATAGGAGCCACCCATAAGTTCTGTCTCGTCGATGATTTCATACTTGAGTATTCAAATACATCTGTTACTATAGATCCTTGAAAATGGTCAACATGTACAATCGGTTTCTTTCCAAAGTAGAAAAATGTCAAGTCAAACAAATACGACAAAGTAATATATTTATCGGTATGTCAGACCAATCCATAAAACGTCTGTTTCTGAAAACATTTCAAAACTATTGACACCAGCAGACATCTAAGCATCAACATGGATTTTAGACACTTTATTTGTTCATTTTGCTTGAATCGTAACCATCTGACTACAATTGAAATTCTAAATAAAATAAGGAGATGTGGTATGATTGCTAATGAGACTACTACCCGCCAGAGATAAAATGACGTATGTGTTAGCAACTATAGGTCATCGTACAGTCTACAAAATCATTGTCTGGAGATCTCTTATGTAGCCAAATTTTGAAACGCTGACCAAGCTCAGAAATTATTTCCTTCCTTTCGTGTACATGTACAACTGAATCCTGTTCGCAGTACCAAAATTACCGAAAAACAAACAGCAGTTTAATGACAATAAAACGTACTAATAAAATGTTAAAGGTAAAAGGTATTGTCAAATGGAAACCATTTTTGAAATTATCAAGCTGACCAGACTCGCACTTATTCCAATGAAAATGGTAAAAAAAAATTCAATGTCTAACAAATGTCAAATAAAAAGATGCTCTCAAATGTCAATCGTATGTATGATATATAAATACTAAAATGAGTATATCAACTGTAAAAATGTGAATGAAATATTATCAAGCGAACTGTACATTATAAGCGGAAATAACCAAAACCTACAACATTTTTTATAGTTATCATAATGGTTGATGCAAATTAAAAATTTCATGCTACCAATTAATTTAGTTTGTGCCTAATTAAAGTAATTGTATTGCATAATGTCTGAATGTCTTTTACGTGTCTGAAGCTTTTAATCGCTTCATTGCCAAACTTATACTGGGTCAAGATAATTCAGAAAATCTTTTGTTATCTGTTCTTGATTCTTCTTTTATCATTACAAATTTTTTATTGCGTTTTCTTTTCAAGACAAAATTGTGAGATAAATGCATAGAAGAGGAAACGAATTTCTATACTTCATGACAAAATTGTGAGATAAATGCGTAGAAAAGGAAACGTAATTCAATATGACTTAAGAGTTTATTATTCAACAAATATACACAATGTTTTAACCTTTATGTATACAATCTGTGACAAAAAGTTTGGTTACATTATGAGAAAAATAAATAAAATAGGCATTAACCTGACACCCACAGACGTTTAGGATCAATTTGAGCGATCTTCTTGTAATGCAATTATACAAAAAATACTTCAAATCTTTACTAAATTCTTCAATAGATACAAAGATTTGGTTTGGAAGTTGGCTGTACCTGTAGAAAACTTATTACAAACGGGATAGCACATTATAATCTTTACGGTGATGTTGTTTACCAAACCCATAAATTTATATACGATCCGAGTAAACTTATCAATCCCTTAAATAAACTTATTCTTAAAGGTCACCAATTCAACACTGTAATTAGATCTTTGAATATTGTTTTTTTTATGGTATGAATATTGATTTTGCTATCAGTAAATTAAAACCAAACTAAATATAATTGTTATACACATATGTACATTCACGGTCCGACAATCAGTCGATACCTATATTTTGGCATTGCACACGCTCGTGTTTTTCTCTGACTGTTAATGACGCCTCTACTAAATCCATAATATGTTGGATGTGTACCGATCGATATTTTAGTCTTAGATAAATGATTTTTTTATAATTTTGTATAAATCAAAGTAAGTGAAATGGATTGCAAATACCTAAGGACTCGATATTAGAAGAATATACACATTCATGTAAATGGATTAATAAAATTAAATAAAGAACTATAGATAGATGATCTAAACTGATCTTTCTTGGCAGTTATTGGTTTCATAGCTCTACGGCAGTATTTATATGGAACAAGATATACCGGAACAGCACGACTAGATGACAAGACAGTGATTATTACGGGCGCTAGTTCAGGAATAGGTAAAGAGGTGGCAAAGAACCTGGCAAAAAGAGGTACATTGTACTAGATCATAAATGCTTGAGGGCAGAAAGAGGTACATTGTACTAGATCACAAATGCTTGAGGGCAAAAAGAGGTACATTGTACTAGATCACAAATGCTTGAGGGCAAAAAGAGGTACATTGTACTAGATCACAAATGCTTGAGGGCAAAAAGAGGTACATTGTACTAGATCACAAATGCTTGAGGGCAAAAAGAGGTACATTGTACTAGATCACAAATGCTTGAGGGCAAAAAGAGGTACATTGTACTAGATCACAAATGCTTGAGGACAAAAAGAGGTACATTGTACTAGATCACAAATGCTTGAGGGCAAAAAGAGGTACATTGTACTAGATCACAAATGCTTGAGGGCAAAAAGAGGTACATTGTACTAGATCACAAATGCTTGAGGGCAAAAAGAGGTACATTGTACTAGATCACAAATGCTTGAGGGCAGAGTCCTGTCTGGTTCCACATTGTTTGTCCTTTTCATTATCATACATATCAGTTTTTCCAATACATGTATTTATTTATACCATATGTCTACTAATATGCCATACATGTACTAATGATATAGATGTATACAACCAATGTGCCACTTTACGTGTCAGGGTGAAGTGTTCCATTACTATTTTTTGTATTGAAATTGTGTGCTTATTTAAACAGGACATTAAACAAGTGCATGTCTTCCTGTACTGTTTATAAAGTTGTTGAATGAAATCTACCAAGAAGTGCAGTTGCCAATATTAGAGTACAGGACGGCAAGCCTGCTATTAGTAACTGTGAAAATTATTTGATACGATATAATTGCTTCTGTCTGATTTTTTGTCCATCATATCAGTGTTATAAAGTAAAGTATTTATTCTGAATTAATCTAATTGTAAAATCTCTTGTGCACCTTTTGATATTTCACTGGTTAAAAATTAAAGGGGGGTGTATCAAAAACAAAATATTTTCTTTGTCATTTCTTTTTATTATTTTTTTTTGTGTGTCTCATCGACTCAAGACACTCGTCTCATTTTATTGATTGCCATTTATTGAAAAAAGTAGGAAATCCAAGTTATCTTGTGAATAATTAAGATTTGGATGAGGTTTCTGCTAATGGTCATATGAGAAATATAAAGTTCGTTGTTCTATTTTTCTGTAAGTTATATATAGCACTGGTAAAATTTGAAATGTAAATTATGGCCTAAAATGATATTTATAATAACAAAGTAATCAAATATTGTGCATTTCTTTTGCTGATAAAAGTGATGTTTTCAAACCTGCATTGATATCTATCTTCTAGGTGCAAAAGTGATATTAGCCTGTCGAGACTTGGCGAAAACTAACAAGGTTGTTGACGAGATAAAAAGACAGATACGAGATACTAAGATTGTTGTTAAACATCTAGACTTAGCTTCACTTCAGTCAATAAGAAAGTTTGCTAAAGACATCAAACAGAATGAAGAGAGACTGGACATACTGATTAACAATGCTGGTCAGTATAGTCGTATCAATATTTGATTTGAATGAAAGTAAAATAAGTGTCCACTTTTACTGGACCGATACGTAATGAACTCATTCAATGACACAAAAACATGCTTATACATCGGACTATTTGACCAAGCTACATCATTTGGTGGTGGTGGCTGATCTTTGATAGTCTCTGTTAAATCTACTGACTACATTACCAGACTCAGGGTAATTTAGGTCTTTACATACTGTATATTCACCCGCTAAATGTAGTTTGCATTGTTTTTGTGTTGTCAGGTTGCCGTCTCATTCGCGTATATACTTCTTATTTCCTTTTATTCATATATAGATCAAACGAACTGTAGTAAAATAGAAATTTTAGAAATTATTTCAAATACGATAGCAATTACCGACATCAGCTGAAACATTGTGAAACAGGATCAGAACAAATATAAAGAGACAAACATGAGAGTATAAAAAAGCAACCGTAATTGCAGGAACACCAAACAGGTTCAAGTGCATGTCTATATATTATCACTTGTTAGGAATACATCACCCAATAACTATCTTTATTTTAACGACAATGCTAAATCAAAAGTAACCATTTATGCCAGCATTAATGGGAATTTTATCTTTATGTGTATATGAAATTTGAAAAATATATAGTCAAGATTTCCGGATTTGTATAAAGTATTATTAGTAGTTGTTGTCTTAATAATTTGATAATTACATAAAGGGGCTGGTGATGTCAAAAGAAAGGATTTCACTGGCACTTTTAAAGATGCATCTGCTGTCCCATTTACGTATGTCTCTTTTTAATGATACCTAGATAGGAGCATAACTATTATTTGACGTTTATTGATACCTAGATAGGAGCATAACTATTATTTGACGTTTATTGATACCTAGATAGGAGCATAACTATTATTTGACGTTTATTGATACCTAGATAGGAGTATAACTATTATTTGACGTTTATTGATACCTAGATAGGAGCATAACTATTATTTGACGTTAATTGATACCTAGATAGGAGCATTATTATTATTTGACGTTTATTGATACCTAGATAGGAGCATAACTATTATTTGACGTTTATTGATACCTAGATAGGAGTATAACTACTATTTGACGTTTATTGATACCTAGATAGGAGCATAACTATTATTTGACGTTTATTGATACCTAGATAGGAGTATAACTATTCTTTGACGTTTATTGATACCTAGATAGGAGCATAACTATTATTTGACGTTAATTGATACCTAGATAGGAGCATTATTATTATTTGACGTTTATTGATACCTAGATAGGAGCATAACTATTATTTGACGTTTATTGATACCTAGATAGGAGTATAACTATTATTTGACGTTTATTGATACCTTGATAGGAGCATAACTATTATTTGACGTTAATTGATACCTAGATAGGAGCATTATTATTATTTGACGTTAATTGATACCTAGATAGGAGCATTATTATTATTTGACGTTTATTGATACCTAGATAGGAGTATAACTATTATTTGACGTTTATTGATACCTAGAAAGGAGTATAACTATTATTTGACGTTTATTTATTCACATAGAGTTTTATTCTCATAACTTTTTGACAGGTGTGTTTTACTGCCCTGATGGCTTTAGAACTGACGATGGATTTGAGATGCAGTTTGGTGTCAATCATTTGGGTCACTTCCTGCTGACAAATTTACTCCTTGGTTTACTGAAGAAATCTGCGCCTAGTCGTGTCGTAACAGTTTCATCTAATGCCCATGAAAGTTTGTAGTATGACAGAAATATTAAGTATTGCAAATGTTTTGAACTTAATTGATGTTGACTGCTTTCGCGGTGATTTTAATATTTGGCAAATGATATTTGTTTTCTGTTAGGTAATCGGAACTAAGATGTGAATTTTATTAAGAAAAAAATTACTTTGAATTTTGAATGCCTTTTTTGTATAAATTTGTTTTAAATTCTCCATAAGAACAAAGGAAAATAAAATCACAAAAAAATCATAATACTTGTATTTTTTTCAACTGTAAACCATGCAATTGAGGTTTGGTTTGTTAGCATGTTTTTAAAAGTGTGTAAACCCGATACAAGTGTTAAAACAACAACTTTGGAAAGGACAGTAATTGAATTTCAACGGGTCGAATTGAGTCAATTCCGGCTATTTTATTGAACACTACATATAGCAAAAACACTGTTTTTTTGCTCTTCATTTTAAAAATCTTTTGATGTATGTCGCTGGTGTATTAAAACCTTCCTGGAAGATAAGGACGTCCTGTATATATATGGTCGACTTATGGTACATCCTTTCATTTTTATCAATATGAAGGCTCCGTCTGTAGTAGGAATTTTGAATTAAAAGTATATATAGTTGATGCCTGTTTCAGAAGGAAGAATAAATTTTGATGATATCAACAGTGAAAAGAAATATGAACCCAGAGCCTGTTACGATCAGAGTAAGCTGGCCAACGTGTTGTTCTCTAGAGAGCTGTCTAAACGGTTAAGAGGTATGTTTGTCATTTCTTTGGTCGAATGCAAAACAATTAAGATATTTTTAACATAAAAAATACCTTATTGCGGGTAATAAATCTATTGTCACCCTTTAAATATTGCGTCAACAGGGTAACACTCCTGTGTTCACCTTCTGTATATGTCATCTAGAGGGTTAACGCCCTATTATCATCCTCCAACTATGACGTTAATATGTGAATAACCATACTTTAACTTCTGAACAAGACATCACCCGGCAAAAACCCTGCTGAACCCTTACTGTTAGAAAGATAACGCTACAACGTTCTACATAAAATGGATGAGTAATTAAATTAATCTGTTGGAAAATGATCACTGATAATTCAATTTTACGCAGAAATAATTCAAAAGATTTTCAACCGTCATTTAAAATGCTAAATATTGCATTTTTTTAATTCAGGAAGTGTCCAGATGAACTTACAAATATACGTGTGCCCATAATAGAACATATAGTTAATTTATTGTACACAGGTCCACATTTGAAAAGAAAACAAAAAAACTGTGATAATTATTATACCACTATGTGTCCATAATCAGTAGACAAAATATAATAAAACAAGCCAGTAACCTGTAATTAAGATGTGTTTTATTTTTTTATTTTTTATTTTGTTGCTATTTGTCATTATGTTTTTCGATTATTGTTTTAGTATAAATCAGGCCGTTGTGATTTTTCTTTGAATTTGTAAACATTCATTTGTGCTGAAGGCAGTACAGAGACTTTGATTTTGTTAGATAGTTGTCGCAATCCTACTACATTTCCTTATTTTCATTTTTAACAATACCAAGTGCATAAGCGAACGGGTTGTTTTGTTGTTGTTGTTTTTTCTAGAGAAGTTTTTAAATATTTCGCAGATACTAACCATAAAAAGTTTGCCAATTATATACAAGTGAATTGGACATTGGCCCATAGAAAATATTTACAAATTTGCTTGCAGCTAATATACTTAGTACTAAACTGTTACCATCAACCTATATATTGTTCTCTTGGAAACCAATTAAAGTTCAGGGTACCGTTTCACAAAGCCTTCGTAAGTCTACGTGTCATCACGTACGTTCATCGTAAATAAATCGTAGGTTTTACAGCCGTTTCACAAAGCCGTCGTAAGTTAAGATGAGCGTAAATAATACGTAAATCCTGGCGTTACTTACTACGGCTATACCCAGTCGTATCTCGATCGTAGTTTTTCCGCGAATATGAGTTAAACCATATCTAAGATGGCTTTATTCTCGATCAAGATGCCGCAAATGTTAGAAGACGAAGAAGAATCTTCAATATTAGAACCACACTTTCTTCATTTGATCATTTTGAAAATGAAATGGATAGACACAGTATCAATGAAATAACATTGGCAATAGAACCAGATATAAAACATGATACAAATAGGTCCAATGCACTTACTCCTGAAACGCAGGTTTTATTAGCTTTGCGCTACTCACTGCGACTCTTTTCACAAAAAATCTTACGATTAAAATGTATCCGGTAAAGCGCCTACTTTATGACACTGATTTGTCCCACCGTAACAAAGCAAAACTAACGACTTCGAGATATATCCGTAGCTTGTTATACTTATATCTGAGATTTTTATATTTCTTTATTATCTATATTTTTAATTTTTATACAGTTTAGTACATATTGCACAACGATAGTGATCGTACCAGCCGTCATAATGTTTTCTTCGTAAACCAGTAATTCCCATTAACGGATAGAAGACCAAGCAAGACTAAATATTTAGCACAACATGGAGTGTGATATGAGTTAAATTTGACTATGAGGTTACCATAAATAATTTAGTTTTTAAGGTTACCATAAATAATTTTGTTAAATGGTCATTTATTCCAAATCATATCAGTCTTGAAAACTAAACAAAGTTGAAAACTGCAGAGATTTGTTAAGCATGTAATCTCCGTGGAATGGTATATTCTAAACAAACACCTATTTTGAAAATAAATTCTACATCCAACAGGTCGATATCGGTGTCAACATTCAATTTTAATACAACTTCTATCTTCAGATTCACGTATTATGTTTTATAAATGACGAAATCATCGAATTGTAATCTCCGTTCACATTTTTGTGAAGAGTGCTTTCTTTCACGTCCGCACTTCTATCGAGTATGGCATGCCAAATAAACATCTTAGATAATAATTACGGATGGCGAATATATAAATTACAGATCAATATCTTACATTGTAATTCAGACGACATAAGAAGACACCATGTGACAATTTTAATTAGTCAATTGTTTTAGTGTAACAGATTTGCTTTTTTTCTTAGATCTACAAAAAAAACACAAAAAAACGAACTGGATGTTTTTATATCAATATTAATGCAAGTAAATAATTTTAACCCGTTTTCAATATTAAAGATCTGAAACTTTTATTATTAATATAAAGTTCGCTCCTCTTGTTTTTGAATTTTTGTCAGATTTTTGGAATCCTCTGGTTTCATCCATGTATTGCCATTAAAACATTTTGCCTGCTAACCCCTACTTTTCTTTTTATAATTTTATTACATATAGTTTAAGAAGCCATATTTGAAAATCTTATAAAATGCTTGTTATTTTTTCATAGTTTTTGAAAGAAAAAGGTGTCAATGTTAAATGTATGAAAAATCTAGAGAGAATCATTTCCCGCCAAATTTTCAATTGATTATATCTCAAAAACAAGATCGTCGACCTTTCATTTTTTTCTGCTTTTTAATTTCTGTTATTTATATACTATCAATTTATAACAGTCATTTAAAAAGCTTGTTATTTTCAAACAGAGTAGCGAACATCCTTAAATACTTTCTTTCATTAAAAATGAAATTACGACGTCGGCTTAGAGGGCATGGTATATATTGTCCGTTACATTTATTAACGACACCTTGTACACATATTTATTTTCGAAAATAAAAACAGTTAAATAGAACAAACAAAACTATCCGTCACAATGATATATGAGGGGTCTGGATTAGGGGAAAAAAGGGGGTGGGGGTTTACATTTCTGTATTCTGTAATTCTTTTGGCCATCTTTCTCTATTCAGTAAGAAATAGGCTTATTCTGCAAATTCTTGTGTTCAGACCGTGCATATGAAAATTTCCTATTGTATCATGATTTTGACATGATAGATATTTTTGTCTGTATCAACGACATATAAATATTTGAATCTACATTTTAAATTGATACAAAAAATCAAAATTCTCTGCTCTATAGATTTTCATAATGGAGTCTAAAATATATCCATAATAAATGCACCGTATCAAATGCATATATGAGAACAACTACTAATAAACTGCTACGCGTCGCATACTATGTATAGAGACATGCATCGTAAATCTAAGTTAAAAGACAAATTAACAAAAAAGGAACTCTAAAAGCTTTCTTTGACAAATTTTATACTAACTTCATGTTAACAAGTTTAAATTACATTTTCTAAAATAGAGCTAAGAACTGTTTGTAATGTTGTAAATTTAATTCGTTTGAAATTTTTATTCAAATACGCTGTTGAAGATTACTAAGCGCCAATAAAATACAATAATTTTGTATTTTATAAATTAGTGTCTTCGATAATGAAAAATTCGTCATCGAACAGTCTCATTATCATGTCGGTATTCGAAATGACTCGTTTCATTGTTATTACAAAAAATAGGTCATAATAACATGACAGAGTTTTTTTTTGCTTCAGATTGTTCTAGATAAATATACAAAAAGCTAATTTTAGACAATGTACCCTCATAAGCCTGGAAGTGGCTAGTCACATATAGTTAAGGTTCATGTGGACCCTTTGGCTAAAATGGCTGCATTTTCACCTCAAAATTTACTCTGAGGACAGACAAACCTGCGCATTTGGAAAAGTTTTAAGGCATAGCATGCCCTAGATAAATAAACTTCTAATGCATTGTATGTTTTAGGAAATTTAAAACTTAACTGGATTTAGCAGTGCACTTTTTTTCGTCCCTGCAGAAGATGATAAAATTAACAAACAGTTGAGTTTCACTTGATATGGTCCACTCAGGTACACAGTTTAAATCACCAATTATTGTCAGGTATCTATTGTCCATCTATTGTCCATGTCAATCAAAACAGTTCACTTCAATTATTACCTGTGGGGAAGTTCTCAAACCTCTTTCCGAACTTAGTTTATTTTGGCACCTTCTGGAGGAATGAAAAAGAGTGCACTGCAAAATCCGGTTAAGTTTTTAATTTTCTAAAACATAAAATATATTTGAATTTTAGTTATCTAGGGCATGCTATGCCTTAAAACTTTTCCAGATGCACAGGTTTGTCTGTACTCAGAGTAAATTTTGAGGTGAAAATGCAGCCATTTTAGACGAAGGGTCCACATGAACCTTAACGGCGTTTTTCTCACAATGATGTTCTACCTCCATAAGCCTGGAAATGTCGTGGCGGGTCACATATAATCAATCCTTCTGACTTCATAAATTTTGTTTAGAGAGTCGGCTGAATTAAGACGTTATGTGATGAAAATTAATTAATTTCCTTCCGTGAAAATGCATCGCATGTACAATAGAAATGAATCGCCGCTACAGTGAAAATGAAAGTCTAGTATCATTATTCGACAGTAAACATGAATCTCATAACGAAAACAGGATAGTGGAATTTAATTCAATATCAACAAGCTGAATAACAAAACCTGTTTTAAGTTATACAACACTAATAATTATGTTAAAAGGTACATTTTTCTGCAAATGAAACTTAACTGCTGCTTTTAAATCTCTTGCACGCTCTGTTCGTGAACTATTCTTAATATTTATCTATTTGTGTATCAATTTTACACCTGGATGGCTGTAGGCGCGATGAAAACTCGTCCGCATCTCATACCTATATCATGAATTTATAAAAACAGTACACATCATATCTTATTTCTTATTCTATTCAAAAATCATGAATTTGTCGTCTGTTTATTTATCATTCTACATTAGAAATTCATAACGGATACAGTGAAAATGGTATTTCAGGATTCGCATTATATACA